TGGACAAATGAAACACAGTGCAATATACTCTTATTTTTATCTGTCCCCTCACTACATTTTTGGACTTTTACCCATCTTTTAAACTCCCACACCGTCTCAGCTGGTTTTACTGGCTGTGGACCTGAGGTGATGTGAGGCAGCACTCCTCAGCAAATGCTGTTAGACTCATTATGCTGCTGAAAATTTAATGACGCTTAAACCAGATGGTGTGCTGTGCTGTATCCATGCTGGTTGCGCATCATATACACTGTTGACTATAACTATAACTGAAGCATGTTCAAGGCAGCAATGTATTGCTTTGCAACCACGAGATGGTGACATATTTTCCTCCAGCAGACCGGAAAGCCTGAGGTGTAAAGGTCTCAGTAGTAATATCTGATTTCATCCTGCAGGGCCGCTGTGAGTTCATATAAGACTCTGCAGCAGAAGGAGCGACCAAGCATACAGCGACACAGACGGAGGAAGAAACACTTGACTGCACTGAGCCCTGCTGTCAGTGTGACAGGAGCAGGGAACGTCAGGTCAGCGGCCCTGTTGTCCTTATCAGTGTCGTCCCACCCTGACAGGAATACATTCTGCACAACATCCTGGTGCGTCATCCTCAGCTCTGTTCCTTACATGGCTCTGGAGGAAACGGTGCCTGTGTGGTAAAGATACAAGAGCTGATGGTGCCCAGAGTTGTCTGGGTAGTGTGCTTAAAGTAAGAGACAAAATGAAGCTTATAATGATACCTGTAATTTATCACATAAACTTCAGTTATTTTTTTAAAGCACCTTCCAGCTTATTGATATGGTTCATCCTAATTTCTCACCAACACAATAATATAAGCTGCCCGTGGGTCCACAAACAAACTGCAACCCAAAATGAACTTCCTTTAGTAGTTACTTGAGGCTGGTTCCAAAAGTGAATCAGTCTCATGTTAAAATCCTAAACTTGCCCAATATAGGTAGGTCTATGGTCTGTGAATAACTTAATACTGGGTGAATTTAATAATGGTATTAAAGGTATGTGGATGTACACAAGGAGCTGTGAGCTGCATGTTGTCCTTAGCACTTAGCTACTTAGCACTATTAGCAAGTGGCTATGTGTTGCACTTTCTTTTGGTGCAGCGTGCTAAATTATAAACAGGCTGGTTCTTATATAGTGCTTTCCTACAATTTTGCACTTTTATATGACATCTTATTCACATAAGCATTGTTTTATCTATGCCTAATAAGATTCACACTCCAGCGAGCGCATCGGAGAACAACCTGGAGTCCAGCATCTTCCTCAAGGATGCTTTGGCATGCAGACTGGCAGCCAGGGTTTAAACCGCCACCTTGCCAGTTAGTAGGTGACCTGCTCTACCTTCTCAGCTACTAATACCCCGAACTAGCTAGCATTAGCCAATATTTACTACTCCACCTTCTCATGCAACTATGGTCTGTTCTGGCTCCAAAGAAGTCAATATGCTGGCAGCCCAAACACTAATGTTAAAGCTTCAAAGTTCCAAAGTAGTGGACAATATTGCAGGGACTACTGCTATCTTTTATATACAGTCTAGTAGCTAATGCAAAGATCTATGCTAACAAAACTTGTGAAAAATAATATGAAACCTACGCAGGTAGTGTTTCTAGAGATCATGCAACAATGGGATGGTGTTTTTAAAGACAAACTCTCTTTTAAAGATCTGGAAGAGTTATTAGTTTGTGAAGGTTCATTTTGCATTTTTCTGATCTCAGTCTGTCGACACCAGATATCACAAGTGAGCTGATTCTGACTGAAGCATTTATTTAAAAAAAAAAGTCTTTTTGGCTTGAAATGGAACCAGCTTTTACTAAATGAAGCTGATGTTTAATAAATAAGACTTTAAAGTAAGTAAAGTGGCCTTTTGTTTTCCTCATTGAGCTCTTTTTGCAATCAGAGTTTTGCCTTCTGCTGGGCATCAGAAGTAATCCATTTAAATTTCTTCCTCACTGACTTCAAGTTTCAGGCCTGGTAGCCTTTTCCATCTTCTATATACAGCTATATTCACAATACAGCTGATTTACATATATATCTCCCCTTTTTTGTCATCCAGCTGCATAAGGAAGCATTAAAAAGTGATTTTAGTTGTAGCTCATAAACACTGCACACCAGCTATCACTCATCTCACATCTCACCAGAGATTCAAAAGAAATCCAGTCAGTTTTCTGGGTATGTGCGATTTCAGCGAACCATCAAAGAGAAAGTTACACCCACACTGCTCCGGACCCTCGATGGGCTGAGGTGGGTCAATGGAATATTTTCAAAAGCTGAGCGAACACTGAAATACCGACCCAGTGGTGACAGATTTGCACACTCTGGAGGCCATTTGTGGAAAACTTTTATTTCGAGTAAGGAAAAAGATGCTCTAAAAGGGAAGCTACTGCTTTTTTGTCTTATTGTCTTTTCTTCATCCGTGTGAACCAAAAGCTCAGACTTCAGCTTGTTCTACTTTTGACTCTGTGTGATGTCATAGAGAATAGATATATCTAATGCGATCGTTAGACCTCATTAAACTTCAGGAAAGCTACTCTAGTAGATTCAAAACATTTCTCAAGTCCACAAAGAAATGTGGCTAAAAAAAACTTCACCTGGTGCAATCCACGTCTGATTCTTTGTTTGGAGATGCAGCTCTCACACATTAAACAGGCCACATCAGTCATTCTCAGCCTTTCTCAAAGTCCGTTTCAGTTTGGTTTGTTATTCGATCTGCAGAGCACCCGTGCCGAAATGCTAAACTCGCTTGAGGAAATCAGTAATGCAGCACCAAAAGATGATGGGAGACTGTGTTTGTGCTGGCTCCGGCCACGGGGCCACTTGGCACGCTCCTCGCTGTGTTGTGAAGAGGTCCGGGAAGCTTGGAGGCGTAAACAGGGCGGCGGGGTCAGAGGACTCAACTGGTCCGCAAATAAACAAACTGTCCTCGGGGGCAGTAGCCGGTACTGGTGAGACAGCTGCAGAGGATCAGAGAGGGTCAATGACACGTGCTGTTTTTGTTGAGTGGAAATTTTCAACACATTTTGTTCCACAACAGTTTATCCAGAACTTGACTAAATCATCTGAGACACCTACAAAGTGCCTTCCAATACAACACTACTCATCAAGGACTCCATTACTTGTTGGTTCTGTTCTTTTCCACTGGGTTGTAAGATAATGACTTGTGCATTATACATTGTTTCTTCTGTTAAGTGGTTTCCCTTTGAGTCGAGGAGACTCTCAGACTCCTGGGGGGGGTCCTCTGGAACACCAGGTCCATTCGCTGTGCCCCCCCACCCCCACCCCATGTGCCACCATCTGGATTGTTTTCCTGCTCTCCTCCCCTCGTCATCTTTCCCTTGTGATGCTTTCGCGTCACATGGGACATTTTTAAGATGCCATAACAAACAATCGTTTCAGTGTTGTGACTGAAGTGTACCATGGGATACAGTGTTATTTGATAACACATGGGTTAAGCAGCGATGTGTTTATAGGTGCGACATATCACCAACAGCTGGGTGAAGCAAAAACTCTAAGTACTGAAATTTCAGTTAAATTTGTGCATTTATTCTTGATCTTGTTGTCTTGTTTTGTAGCTCTTATCCATTTCACGCAGTACCTCTTGGTGCCTGTTAAATCTAGAATTTAAAATCCTTAATTAACACAACTCTTGAATGATTAAGCCCCATCATATCCTAAAGACCTCATAGTTTGATAGTTTCAGACTGTCCACTTCTTTGAGGTTCAAAAAGTAGAATGGGTGGCAGAGACTTTGGGTATCAGTTGCTCCCAGTTGGGTTGAGGAAACACAGCCTCTGTAGTTTTAAGATGACATATCAAACTTTTCTTTCTGCCAAAGTTTTTGGTTATCGCTGGTACTTGTGCTGTGATCCACTTGTTAACTGATGATCTAATGATATGTTTCCAGGTCCAAATGATGGATGTGGCCATGGTTGAGTATATCCTCCTCTTAATTTAGTTCACTGAATTTTATTTATACAGCACCAAACCACAACAACAGTCGCCTCAAGGTGTGACTCGATGTTTCATGCTTTGCTCTCTTTTTATTAGGATAGTTCATGTGATTTGGTAGTGATGGCAGCAGCATGGTGGTGCAGTGGTTAGTGCTTTTGCCGCCCAGAAAGAAGGTCCTTGATTCAAATCCATTATCTACCTGGGTTCTCTCCAGGTAATCCAGCTTTCTCCAACACTCCAAAGACATGCATGTTTGGCAAATTAATGATTCAGAATAACAGAGAGGAAATATCTGAAGCCCTCTCCTTTGTTCTTTGTCATGTAACGACATGATCAACAGTCCAGCTGATGTTTTGTTGTGAGCCACCGTGTTTCACCAAATGTTTTGAAATATTTTAAATTGTGCAAACATGGATTTGCCTCTATCATACTGCTCGCCATGAACTGCAGTCAGTTTAACTCATTAGATAAACTTCATAAGTCCTCCCAGTGTGCTTTGTGGGATCGTACCACTCGACATAAGACATCCTCCACCTTCTTTTCACTCCACATGTGTTTATATGTTGTTATTACTACCACTTTTACCATTATGTCTCCTGTATTGTCTCCTCACCCTGAACTCCCTGAGTCGAGTTCTGTTCGACGTCACTTCCTTTTAAAGGGGAGTTTTTCCTCCCCACTATTGGCAAGTGCTGCTCACGGGGAATCTTCTAATTACTGGGGTTCTCTCTAACATCATGGGGTCTTTACCTTTAAAAAAGTAAAAAAGGTATGACGGACTGTTGTAAAAATGAAATTCAATTCCTCTAGTTGAAAGAAAACGCTAATAATCAACTATTTATTTGCAATTGTTTTGTTGGCTATAAAACTAGAAACAATCACCTCTAACAGCATTTACCATCTTCTGCACAGGCTCCTGAAAGCAGCACATCACCCTATACCCTCCCTTTCTCCCCCTCCCTCCCCTCTCTTTCCACCCTCAAGCATTATTCTCTTCCTTTAACTCCCCCTCCTTTCCTGCCGGCCTCTCAGCAGAGGATGTGTCTGGAGAGAGAGTGTATGTGTGTGAGAGAGAGGAAAAGAGGAAAGCCTTCAGTAGAATGGATATGTGCCTTCTCTCCTCCACCCTTTCTTCTCCTTCTCCTTCTTCTTCTGCTTCCTCCTCTCCTCTTCCTCATCAGTGTCTTCCTTCACTGTCTTCCATCAGATCTGCGCCCTGGGCACCTTCAGCACCGGCCCTCAGGGGAAAAGGAGACTCGTCGGGTGGATGGGCGGCTAAAAACTGAACTCCAATGTCAGCTGGGGATCAGAAGAATGGTGGTGACAAACCAGAAGGTAATGGGACACACACACACACACACACACACACACACACTGCTTGACTGTGGCCAACACCCACTTCTTCTAAAGCCTCTTAACAGCTAGAACCAAAACAAAGCTGTGCGTGAGGCTGCACTCTTACTTCTCTGTGAGAGAAATGAATGAACACACCAGAGGAGTTTGCCTCACACTGATGGATTGATTTGTAGTGACTGATGAAATATTGAAGAAGCCAGTGCTTGTGAGATACAGGATTCTCCCTGTGTCCAGTGTTTCTGCTGGGGGGCGAGAAAACTACAGACTCTCCAACTGTGTTTGGGTATAAAAGTTTAATTTTCTCATGACGCAATTTCAAACCTGTGAATGTTCAAATATCCATTTCACGAGGGCTTTAAAGATCTTGTATAACTGAAAGCTCCACTGCAGCTGCTGAAGTGACCGTGTGCTGTTGTGTTTAATGTCAGAAATCTCAGATATGCTGAGAACAATGACCCACAAATGTAGATGTATGCAGCCACCCGCTACATGAAGTCTACATTTTGGAGCTCTAAGTTAGCTCGGTTAGCAAGCTCCTGGCATAAACTGAATGAGTGCACAGACACAGATACCTGCTATTTAGTTATGTTATGCTAAGTAATATAAAAAACTGCAAAAAACACAAAATGCTAGATTGAACTAAAGCACAAGCTTCTTGGACACACTGTGGGTCATATTCCTTGTCACATAATTCCATTAAAATGGTCCAAACAGCACAAACCTGGTTGAGAGTTCCAGCTCAGGAAATTAGAAGAGGTGAGGCCAACCTAACAGTATCCAGTCTGGTGAGTGATTTAAAAAGAAATCACTCACCATACGGTTGTTATTAAGGGGAAAGTGCCTCTTCAGATAGAGGATTGGAGTCGATGTGGATTGAAAACACTGTAGCTTCTGCATCAGCATGTTTTTGTTGTTTGTACCTTCTTGGTTTTCTTATCACACATATATGATAAGAAACAGCATCTTTAGTTGCAGCCATCTGAAAATGTCAGCTAAATTGATCTCACTCCTTTCCACTTATATTTGACTTTTAGACCAACTACTGAACATTAAGTAGCAGCTTTAAACTCATCAGGATCTTCTCATATAAAATCAGCAGTAAATCATTTTCTGCAATCTTTGCAAAATCGTTATGAATCAGGTCTGTCTAATCGCCGTCGGCAGTTAACGATCATATTGTCCATTGTGCTGCAGATCTGTAACCTTTCAACCTCCAGAGTGCCAGAAAGCCAGGCGACCCAGCGCAGCACATTGCTGTCTGCTGAGTCACTAACCAGTACATTATTCCATTAAGACCAATTATGTTGTGTAATTCCAATTGAGGCAGTCATGTGACTAACTGTGTTCTAGCTGACTCACAGATGAGATATGATATCCTGCTTACCTGACAAGCACAACACAAAGAGTCTGGGCTATAAAATAGTCCCTCCATTGGGACAGGGAGAATTGTTTGACTGCGCAGCACTTCCCATTCCCGAATTGTTGGGTAACTCGGGATATGCTGGAAGCTATGTACATTTTTAGGCATTGTCTCTTTTTACTATATACAAGGAAGACAAGAATCCTGATTCTTGTCACTTCACTGAAGTCTTGGAATCACCTGATCTTTCACCCAAGAGACAGGGGGTCATGTGTATGATGCCATTTTTAGACTCGATAGAAGAGATATATTTCACAGAGGATGATAAATGTGGCAGGAGGGAAAAAGGAAGACCTCAGACAAGCTTTGTGGAATTAGTGAAGGAGGACATGTAGAGGAGGATGTCAGGGACATTGTGAGATGCAGGCAGATGATCTGCTGTGGCCCGCTCAGTGTTGTATTTATGTCTTGATGCATGCTCAATCATCCAGTAAGGAAATCCGCCCCCCAAAAAAGTTGATTCTGTTTATCTGGACGTAGTGTTTTGTGGGAGAAAAGTTTTGTCACTCATCTAAGTGACTTCTTCAGTCTCAGCTGACTGCAGGTTTCCCCAATCGAGGTGGCTCTTCTGTGTTGTGCCATCCGCTTCGCCAGAGATTGTTTGGGTTCCTCAATGTACAAATCCTGGCAATCCTCCTGGCACTTAACAGCGTACACTATGTTACTCTGTTTGTGTCGAGGGATTCGATCCTTGGGGTGGACCAATGGTCTTTGATCAGTGGTCATGGCAATTTGCCTATTAATGAAGAAACTGACCTCACAGCCCATTGTTCCTTCAGTGGTGCTGGTTTCAGTCATTGTGCAAATGTACTCGTTATAAAGTTTGGGAAACCTGCAGAGAGCTGAGACTGAAGAAGTCATTTGGATGAGTGACGAAACGTTTCTCCTACTGAAAACGCTACGTCCAGATGAACAGAGTCAACCTTTTGGGGGATGTTTTATCTATAATTTCTGAGGGTTGATATGAAGGTTTATCTGCAAAGTGTATTGACGATAACTATATTCTAGGAAAGTGTAAATAGGGGTTAGGTTTCTCTGTGTTGGTACTCAGTTTGTTAAATTGTATCTATTATTTATATTATTTCCTCTGTCTTCATTACATTTTGATTAATAAGGCTTTAAAGTCAAAGCTGTGTTAATGGTATAATAAGCGAAAGTTCACCAGCTCTCCAAAATAAAAATCTCATAAGAAGTCTGTATTTTTCCTCACTGAATGTAATGTTCTGTGGTGGGTAGCTCAATACTGAACATTCAGAGAAAATTATGGGAGAATATTTGGGGGCAGCTTTGGGAGCCGTAACAAAATCAGAGTGTACTTTTCTTGTGCTGGTAAATGAGAAAGCGATTAAAAAAAACATTAAGTGAGGCAATCCATAATCGCTCTTGACAGGCTGCTTCCCAGCTGGGAACAAATCTCATCACTGCACATTTCTGCACGAGCATTTCTCTGAAGCAGAGCTGCTGTGACAGAAATAATGACGCTGCCGAGGGAGTGAAACTTCTCTTCTAGCACATAATCGAGCCAATTCAAGCTCCTCTGTCATGGGAAAGGTTGTGACCAGCTTTCAAAACTTCCTTCAAATGATTTTAAACTGTGACATTTAGAATCACTCGTTCACTTGGAGCCCAGTTTGTCTAAATATGATCAAATACTGTTCCCTGTAGTAACGCAGCTAATCTCATGATGGTAATAGCCCTGAACTATAGTCACACCCAGTGAGTATAAGGCGTTTAACATGTTGTCTCTGCATTTCCGCTTGCACTTTAAAGTTTTCTTGCATGTTTTGTGTGTTTATTCCTCTGTAAGAAACACACAAACAAACACACAGTTCTTTTGCTGTAAAGAACCGCGGGATACCAGAAGTATCTTGAGTGTTGCAGGGGAAAGTGTTTTTAAGTCAAACAGAAACCTTTGACGGTACACAGCTGCCTCTGTTGGTCTGATCAATATTAAAATGAGGACGTGAGCTCTGGTTTTCTGGGGGACAAAATATACTGTTTGATCCACTGTTTGATCCACTGCAAGCACAAGAAAGTTATCAGAGGTAAAAAATAAATAAATAAATAAAATAAATGTTAAAATATGTCAGATTCCTTTTCCCTCAATCGATGAAGTTAAATGTTTATACAAGTTGAATATTTTAACTTTATGCTGTATTATTTGATTCTCAGCTGTTATATGGAATCAAGCATTTTCGTTTTGTTACTGAGTTTATTGGACTCTTTAGATGATGGGTCCACTGGATTGCTTTGCCAGGTGTCACTGAGTAAGTCGTTACTCACATGAATTAAATGTCTCACTCTCCCTTTTGTTGTGGTGCTAGCGTTACTGCGTAGGAGTGAAGTTGCCTTAAATGTTAAATATTGTTTTAATCAAACATTTTGTTTGAATCAAGAAGAAATAAAGTACATATTTTTTTGCCTTTCCACTGTGATCTCTATATTGTAGATGATTCAATATGGAAAACCTGAGGGATTGATGTTTTTCACTTGAGTTTACGGTTGTACGGCTTGTGGCTCATGGACAGTTTCTGAATATGTTTTTTTACACTTAAAGGAAGGGAAGTATTTATGTACAAAGAAGAGCACCAGCTAGCATTATTTTTTCATATAGGTACTGTCCTTGAGCTAATTAATAAACTGTGTTAAAATATTACTATCAAACGGACTTATTACAATTTTTAAGGAAGGTGTAAAGAAAGGGAGGACAAGAGAGGTCCTTTTGGATCAGATGGAGAGCAGCTTTCACTTGGTCCCCCTTGTTGCTTCCCCCCTTGCTCTGCTGTGTGTCCGCTCCCCTTGACTGTGCTGACCTCCCATCTTTAATACCATGTGACCGAGCAGACTTTTATCATTTCCTTGATTTGGAAGGTGTGGGTAGGAAGCGGTGGCATGCGGTGAGTTTTGCAGTAAGGCGAACAGAGACTTGAGTAGTATCTGTCACGGTTAACTCTCAATATTAAAATATGAATGTTGTGTCATGATCCTGGTTTTTTGACCCTGCCCGTTGGCTTTTGGAATTTTTTTAGTTGCGGACTTTTTAATCCTTTATTTAATGCCCCTCTTTGTATCCCTCTTTGTACACTCTTGACCTTTGACTTTAGTGTGGTGTATGGGTAGCAGTTAGTATTTTACTTAGAGATCAGATTATACAGGGTTTTCCTTTGTTTTTTCTTAGCGTTCCCATTAGTGACTAGTTTGTATATTAGTGTCATTGTTTGGATGTTTGTTACTTCCTGTTTTATTTTGCTAGTCTCTTATCTCATGTGCATTTTGTTTAGTTTTATTTCCCCTTGTCTCATTAGATTCTGTTTTCCAACTCCATCATGTCATGTGGAGTGTTGGCAAACCAGCTGGTTAAATTAAATACTGTCAGACATTCTCATAGATACTTATTTAAAAGCACTGTTGACACTGCACCTAGTCAACTTGCCTATTTTATGGTCAGAGCTGCCTTCCCCTCTCTACCGTCGTCACAGCTTTTCTTGCTAATGTAAGAAGTTATTAACAACTTTTTTACTCTACATGACTCATGCTGGCCAAGGTGGTTAGCAAGACCAAACTCATCACTGATGCTAAATCACTAAAGCTCATTTAGTTGCTATTGCTAGCTGTGTTTCCATATGTAGTGCATGTCATAGCTGATCTCAGAGCAGTGAAGGCTGAGCCAGATTGTTTCACACACTCCCGTCCCGTCAGCGAAAAACCAGAGTTTATCCACCAGAAAAAAAGCTGCTGTCTTCCACTTGCCCAGCTCCTGCATTGTTAATGGGAGATGAGCACAAAATTAGCACAAATAGATGAGAAGCTTTAAGATCAAAGTGAAAGGAAAAATCACTGTTTTTCAATTTGCATCTATTTTTAGATTTGATGAGGAAAGCACTGCTTGCCTTGCTTGCCCTGACAGGATAACAGTGGTAGGAAGTAATATTTATTCAAAAATAAAAGTTTGCAAAAGAAAAACAATAATTGTAAATACTTAAAAAACACAGAATTAAATGTTAAAATTACTTGCACTGTATGCATAGATTTATTGCCGTTGTATCAATCAAGCATTACCGAGTGAAAGTCATGTCAATGCAGCAACACACCCGACGTGTTGTTTCTTAGCTTTGTTATTCCAACATAGAGGTAAAAAATAAAACAGAATCTCAGTGGCTGAACTGAGATGGAAATAAAATGGAACAAATGTAGAACATCTTATTATAATAAAACATACATAATAGTTTAACTAACATCCATAATTTACTACTGCAAAGCTAGAACTTCTCTGACATGTCTAATGCAGTATAAGTTGGCGCGTGCAGATTAAAACAGATCAACATAATATAATAAACGGTGAACTTAAACCTTTGTTTGTGTTTTCTTGTCCTCTTAGAGAAATGTGCAACGACAACTCAGAACAAAATTATTCCCTGTGATGAAACATTTCTGATAGTGGTCATTTCCAGGATTATAATGCCCCCCACTGATAGGACATAAGGGCTCAATGCTTTGATGAGGATGAAAATGATATGAGAAAATGAAAATGAGATTCACTAAACACCTAAGGGAGATTTTGGAACATCAAAATACCAAATGAGGGGATATGTTTTGGAAGAGTGGTGTTCCTTCCCTCCTGTGGAGTCCTGAGACTTTGAGCTTTGAAGCTGTTCTAGTGACACAGGATGGCTCAGCAGCTTACTAACACGGCTCAGAGTCTTTTATATATAAAAATAAAATGTAATTTTTATTCTTTACATTTTACCCAAACATGAACTTAGAACTTAGTATTTTTAATATATCTTGTGCTAGAAGCAAGTAGTGGATAAAACACGCCTCTTTGCGGTGTGTGTGACACTGACTGTATATAAAAGATGTTTGTAGCTTTGAGGGCTGAAGTTAATTAAACCTGCATTCTATCTAATGGCCAACAGGGGGTGTTTCAAACACAACAGACTGGAACAGAACAGAAAGGCCAGGAGGAATCAACCTGCTGCTCACTTCCTCTACGACTTCAGTAAAAGAGTTTATCGTCTCAGTCACAAGTTTCAACACTGTGATGTTCATGGTGTAAATTACAGCTTGAAAAGACAATAAAACAGAGTATGCTTAAGGGCAGGCCTGCCTCTTTATGGGCGAGTTGCTTCACTATATCTCCCTGCCTGATATTTTCTTCTCTTTGTCTCTCAGACATGGTGCCACAGCCTGAGGTGTGGCCTGAGGTGGAGAGGGCAGAGTGTTTGGCCCGCGGCGCTGCCCTGAAGTGGGCGTCGGGTGTTTTCTGTCGGCCTGAACATCTGGAGCGACTCAGTCAATACAGGAAGAGAGAAAGTCAGAGGACAGCGTCCGTTCACACCAGACTGAAGGTGACAACACAGTCCACAAGTACGCATCAATGCACAATAATGGAGCAGTAGTTTAAAGCAGTTTAAATTATCCCAATAAGGCACATAAAAGAAACCTAATCTACTCTTCCTTATTTTCTGTTGCATACAGTGCTGCAAAAAATATTTGCCCCCTTCTTGATTTCTTTCTTTTTTTCTTATTCGTCACACTTAAATGTTTCAGGTCATCAAATAAGTTGTAATTATAGTTATAACCCAGTTCAACAGAAAATGTGTTTTTAAAGTAATGATTTTATTTACTGAGGTGAAAAAAGCTATCCAAAGCTACCTGCCCCTCTTCTTAAATCATGAATTAACTTTGATTTTTTATCTTGGAAAGCTGAGTTCAAGTTCCGTTGCCACACCCTGGACTGATTACCACCAGACCTGCCGACTCAAGAAATCACTTGAGATTTCAATGAACAGCACATCATTCTGCAATCTAAAGAGACAAGTGAGAAACAAAGTCACTGATGTCTATTAGTCTGGAAAAGAAAGATATTTCTAAGACTTTGGGACTCCACTGAATAATTATCAACACCACTTGGAACAGTGGTGTTGATAATTACCCTAAAAGTTCGTCGATGACTCATCCACGAGGTCACAAAAGAACCCAGAACAACATCAAAGACCTGCAGGCCTCACTTGTCTCGGTAGAGGTCAGAGTTCATGATTCTTCAGTAAGAGACGAGGAAAAAAATGGCATCCATAGAAAAGTTCCAAGGAGAAAACCACTGCTGACCAAAAATCACGAAAACCTTCAGGAGGGTTTTTAGTCCCGTTACATCCAATCACAAGAAAGATGGCATGTAGGGAGGTGGAAGGACAGAGGAAAAGTTTTGCTGTTTTTCCGTTTTTTGTAAATAGACCTAACATTAACACTGCAATCCCTTTCTTTCCAGTCCATGGTCCAGTCGTACCTGGAGGGAGTGGGCTGGGGTCTGGAGCAGCTCCGCGAGGCCCGGACTGAGCTGAGGGAAGTGTCACGTGATTTGAAGAAAGCTGGACTGGAGTCTGATCAAAACACAGAGGGGGGAAGATCTCTGGAGAGACTGAGAGAGGTGTCTGCAAACCACAGTCAGCTCCTCACTGCCGTTAGCAACCTGCCACGACTTTACTCCGGTGAGAAGCAGCTGTGTGGATGAAAGTAGGATCCCATGACGAAAGTGACTAACGTAGATGTCCCTGTCATCACGCTTTGCATACATACATGCATACATTTGCCTTAATCCTGTTATATGATGAGCAGATTATTATAACTGGTTTTAATTTGACATGAAAGGACTTTAAATCTAGAGATGACATCATTTTACACAGTTTTATGCTGGAACAGGATTTCAGGAAAACTATTTGAAAGCTGACACTAACACCATAAAACATTTACATTGATGCATTTTGGCAAATTTACTGTGACTTTGTTTGTTTCTGTGTGTTTTTGATTTGAAAACATATAAAAAAAGGTGTCCCACTGCTCTAATGTGTATTTTAAGGATACTGAGTTTTCCATGCTGACGCCTTAAAAGCTTTAAAAGTGTGTGAATATGACATTTACGCTATTGCTGGTTGGAAAATCCCCTTATTTTTCTGCCTGATATTCAGAGGTATGTCTGCGTGCCTAAAAGAGGTGTTCTGATTGGCTGCCCTTTGCAGCCATGTTTAAATGGCAGGTGGGTGGGGCTTCTGATGTCACCGTCAGCTATGATGACCGTATTACGGGATATCCACTCATAATGACTTCATACAGAAACTATAGCGCAGTGTAAACCTTTTCATGTTTAATAATTCTTTTGGTAATTCTTATAGTTCCATGTAAACCACCTCCACATACTCTCTATTGCCCAGTGCGTAGCATGGTGATGGAGACAGAGCGCCTGGTGGAGTCCCGGCGGCTGTTGGAGGCCCATGCCAAGCTGATGGATCTGGAGTACTTGCAGGATGATATTCTATGGCAGCTCAACAAGGCCGCAGGAGGTGCACTCAGCACTGAAGACCAGGAAGTGGTGGCCAAATATTTCTCTGGAGTCCGGCACCTGGTCGATGCACTGGGTGAGGAACTCATTAAGATATGGGAAAATCTGTTCAAGCTCAACCATCATTTTTTGTTAAAGTTCCTCTCCTAGCAGCCTAACAACACATCACTGTTAATCAGATTTACATGTTTCTGTAAAAAAAAAAAAGACCATTCATTCATATAAGTTGCTTAAAGTTGTTGAGACATGGTTTTAAATAACTGACCTTCAGGCATTTGCAGCTGTAGCAACCAGTTTTGTTCTGGAAAGAAACCTTTAAAAAATCTTTATTGATAAAAGAAAACAAATGATAACATTCAGCGATATTTAGTATGCACCCAGGATATGCAATAAGCTTTACAGTTGACTTTTCTAAAGCAAGAATACATCAAAGAAGCGTGTAGAAAAAGCAGTGTCATGGAAAGAGTGCCATTGGGTATTAGCAGCTTTAATAAAATCTTTAATCCCAGCTTCTGTGGTCCTGATGATGAAAGCACAAAGTCTGCTGGTTGAAACCTGATATCTTCATACTCCACATTCATCCTGGCGCTGCAGGGAAGGAGCTGTGGGCGGTGGTGAGCAGTGCTCTGGCTCTGGCCCGACAAAACCCCACGCCGTTTGTATCCGCTGTGAGAATTGTGGAGCGGGAGGAGGCGCTGGACCAAACTCTGCTGGAGGAGAGGGGAGGCGGCGGAGGCAACAGCAGGCCCCTACCCCCTGGACGACCTCGCTGCTGGAGAGCGTGCTTCTTCAAGGTCAGCGGCACCTGATACAAACACTGTTACCAAGTTTCTGCTTTTGAATATACAAATGTATGTCTCAGTTCACTCATACTCCCAGGTACTAGAGGAGGCGGTGGCGGCGCGGTTTCGCAGTGTTTCCTATCTGCACACACGTGGTCCGGGTCTGGCAGGTCACCTCTCTGCACTGCAGCACGGCATCATGGCCGACCTGGCCACCGTACGCCACCTGCTGGAGCACTGCGTCCCGCAACAATACAAGCTGACTGGAGCCTACTTGAGGGCCAGCCACCGCTGTTTACATGCCCACCTGACACAGGTCGGTGAAATGAACAATGCCACCTCATCATGAATACTACAGATCTGTCTTCTTCTGTCCAGGTCAGTGTTTTTTTAAACACCGACCACCATCACTGTCTACATGTAAGTGATATTTGTGGCCTAGGTTAGCAGCTGGGACCTGGAGAGCGGTGAAATCTTCGCTGTGCTCAACTGGGTGCTGCACATCTACAACAGGTGAGGCTCGTGATCAGAATCTGTATTTTATCCTTTCTCTGTTACCATAAAGTTTTTTAGAGTTTTTCAGGATATTTCTAAGCAGCAGTTTGGAAGATTTTAATCTTGAGCTAATCACAAGATTGGAAGAAAGAAGAAACAAGAGATACAAAACTTTTCTTTCAAATCTCTGTTTTGTTATTACTGTGAAGTTATGGACTTTTATTAGCATGAAACGCCACCCTTTGGCTGAACTCTGCAAACCCACGTTCAGCCATTAATGTCACAAGAAGCTGCGAGTTCATTAATACTTCATTACAATGACTATTAAAGCCACTAAAATCTGAACGTGGCAGTCTTGTTTTGGCAGCCCGGACATGATGGGTCATCCTGAGCTGGTGACGGAGATGGAGAGAGAAGAGCTGAGGCCTCTAATCTCCACAGAGGGACTCGAGCAGCTGCAGAGCAAATACGTGCAGAGTGTTCGGGTGAGCACTGGATACAGTCTGCATATACAGAAGACAGATGTTTTATATATTGAAACTGTCTGTGTTGTTGCATTAAGTACACATAGTCTGTGTGTGTGTGTGTGTGTGTGTGTGTGTGTGTGTGTGTGTGTGTGTGTGTGTGTGTGTGTGTCATTGCTGCTGTAGAAGAGTGTATCTGAATGGATGCACAAAGCTCTGCAGGTGGAGCTGCAGGACTGGCAGAGGGACCAGGAGCCAGATACAGACCATGAGGGCTTCTACCAAACAAGCCTGCCCACAATCATCACACAGGTAACCAGTGCTATAAAAACATCAGATAAATACAATCACAGATCCATGACGTGGAGCAAATTTTACACATTTGAAAGTTTCTTTAATAAACCTTTAAATGAGCATCTCACAATCCTCGCATGCAGCATGACTGTGGATTCTGTCCTGGTTTTGGAGCTGGATAATGTAATCACGTGATAATGTAATCACAATGATGATCTTCATCCCTGTCCACACCCTGCAGATTCTGTATGTAATGAAATTATGTGCTTCTTGGAAATGCACTGGCAGAAACAAAGATCTCACATTCTCTGCTATTAAACTTAGTTCAAGTTCCCCACTGAATGTAGAGTTGGTGTGGACTTCTCGGAGTGTTTTATATAACTATGCTGTGTATTTTGTGTGGATTTGTGTGTCACGGTGGTAGATGCTGGAGGAGAACGCCCGGGTGGCTCTGATGATCGGCGAGTCCCTGCGAGATCAGACTATACAGATGGGACTGTATGAGATGGAGAACCTCCTGAACAGGTGTGTGCGCATGGACGTTGTGTGTCTGTGCTCCTGAACATACTGCACCCAGCTTTTGCTTAGTATTTGCTCTTTAGACCAGGTTACACTGTTTGTAGACTTCAAGTCAGATCAAGTTTTATCATTTCCTTATTGCTGCTTTGTACACTCACCAGTCATTTCAGTAGATGCTCCTGTTTAACTGCTTATTAACAAACAATCACGAAAACAACTCAGTGGATTTAGACATACAAACATGGTCAAGACGACCTGCTAAGGTTCAAACTGCTCTGAGACTTTCAGTCACATCAAACATCAAACATCCATCTCTAGGGTTTAAAGAAAATGGTCCAAAAAGAGAAAATGTCCCAGTTTCTCTAGAAGAGAATGCCTCAAAGTCAAAGCAGAATAGCCAGTGTGGTAGAAGGTTCAGGTTAATGACTCCACTTAACAGAGGTGAGGCCTAGCAAGCATGGATCAGCTCATGCCACCTCTGTCAGGATACCTTTCAGTCAGCATGGATATGCCCCTAAATCCAGTATCCAGCTGGATTCATTAGTCTGTTGGGGTTGACTCTTTTTTTTGGAGCATGCCTCTAGTGGGAAGTTAGAAGAACTACAGTTTATGCTCTCCCTGCTGCATTTTTCAGCTCCGGAGGTTTCCTTTTGCAATAATTTTGTGAATCATTACATCTACTTTAACCTCCAGGTTTCGTGAAGCTCTGGTGGAATTCGGAAAGGAGCATCGCAGGGATCTGAGCAACAGCAAAAATAAGTTCTACCTCCACTATCTGCTGGCCTCCATCAGCAACTGCATCATCCTCAAGTAAGTTTGTAGTGGAAGATCAGTGCAGGTGTGGAAGTAAGTAGTCACCACACACAGGAGCTTCTGATTGATAAATGCTCCAGGACGTGCACACTCTCAGTGCTCTCATGTTGAATCGATCCATCATTTGATGGTGTGGGGTCACTTATTATTTCTTAATATCACTTTGAAAAAACTTAAATAGAAATGGAAGAATTCCACTGGGAAGTTCTGAAGCAAAGACATCCCAGTGCCTCTACATGCAGTAGTGGTTCCTTTGCATATTTTTAGACTTTGGACATAATCCCGATGCACAGGTTGAGTCCTGATCTTTATTATGAGTTTAGCTATAAGTCACACAACAGTTAGCCATTAATAATTAACTGTCGTAATGTAATTTTCTGCACACTGGCTTGGCTCTAAAGCCATGACAAAAGAGGAAGATACAGGGTGAAGGCCACTAAATACTAATTTATCTTGGTATCAAATTAAAAATAGACAAAGAAAAACCTAACTGTGAGGTGAGAATCATCAGTAATGATGACGTGTGTATCTGGACATGTTGAGTGGCACAAAGCAAAGATCTGTGTGAAAGAAAAGCCGCTGATGGTCTGAGGAAGGGTGGAGTTTAATTGAGGAAACACTCCAGTTGAGCTGATGTTCTGCTCCACCCATCGGCATGGAAACGTTATAAGCAAGCAAGCAGACCATCACAACATGAGGGTGTATGTCATGTGAGACACAGTGAATAGCTGCGCCTGTGAAACGGTATTTGCTCTAAATGTGATTAATTTCAGGAGCCTCGAAGCACCGCCTTTCAGTTTTCCAGAGATGAAGATCATGGCACGGAATCTGAGTGTCCTAAAAACAGCTTGTTTAGTGCCGTATGAGACAGCTGTAGTGACCTGCCAGATCGGTGCAGTGAACAGTTAGATCGATTTGAGGAGCAAAGATGTGTGTGGTCTCAGAGAGGATTAATCGTTGTTCACTGTCGGTGCAGGAAGTCCACGGAGAGCCTGCAGCAGCAGCAGTCGTCCCAGTCGGCAGGCCAGTTCACTCGCACTCCTCCTAACCCTCTGGCAGCTCTGGACCGGGCGGTGCGGCGGGCGTGCCGGCTTGTCATGGATCAGCTCTTGCTGGATTTGAAGCCTTTCCTCCCAGGCCTGCTCACCCGACCCTGGCTGGCTCAGGGAGACCCGACCCCCAAACTTTGCCGCGTCCTGGAGCGTCACCTGGAGCTGTACTTGCGCGTTCGGCCTCCCTGCCGGCAGGTATCAGATTCAGAGAGCGGTTTAGAAATGTACTGTGTGTGTCGAGGGTAAAGGTGGTCTAAAGGTACAGAACCTAATAACCGAAGAAAGTGTAAATAACCTCCAAAGACAGGAATAAGTCTCATAGTGCATATTTATTTTATACATTCTGTGTGTACAGCGTCTGCAGGAAGAGGCCCAGTGGCTGATGGTGGTGGAGTACGTCAGGGCTCTGATGCAGAAGAGGCTGGTGTGTCGTAGTGGCGAGGAGAGGAGGCAGCTCGCTCAGCAGATGCTTCAGGACGACCAGCTGTTCAGAGAAATCTTCCACAGCCTGGTGGGTATAAAGTACTATTACACAATATTATTACACATGATTCAGAAAACTGTACCAGGTTATGTAACACTGAACAATATCAGTATGTTAAGGTTGAGACTTTGTAGAAATATGAGTACTACATTACTCATACTACAATAAAATGTATTTTATTTAGGCCCGTGCTGGTCAATATTCAATTAATTTAACAGATTAACAAAATACACATGACATGTAACATTATAAAATGAACAAGGACATAAAAATGAAATGAAATGGAACAAAATCAAGTGATAGTTTGAAATAAAAATGAAATAATTAAAATAAGATTAACATAAAAAAAGAGACCAAATCAAAGGATGTAAAAGTAGAAAAGTAATCATGTGAATCATGAAATTACAAATGCATAATTAGATAAACATTGACGTACAATTTAACTAATTTTTGAACATTTAAACAATATATGATGAATTTTTTTTTTAAATTGAATAATCTAAAGTATAATAAAACTAAAATATGACATAACATAAAGAAATTGAGAAAAAAATGGAAAAATGTAGAAATAAAAATATATAAATGAAACGAACAAAGTTAAAAAAAGATGAAACGTGGGATTATAGCTTTATGAAATAAACACATTTTTAAAGCTATATTGTGAAATAGAAACGTAATATGAATTACTGCATGACAAAATTAAATACTTCTAATACTTTTATTGTTAACTACAAATTAATTAATAAATTCATTGGTAGAACAATTATTTTTAAAGAAGTGGTCAAATAAGTTTCTTTGATAATAACACGCTGAGTAGAAAAATCATACATAAGTATTTTATTTACTGATTGATTTATTTAACATTGAGCACTTTGGGGTATTCGTATACATATAGTTTGCCGTTGTACTGCATGAGAATCGTGTTTTCGTCTGCTGCGATGTCTTAACTGAATAATTTCCACAGAATATTCATACCTGTCCGTGCGCGATCACTCAAAGCCACACGTGCATCGATCTGTCTCAGCAGGAAGGTGAAGGGTCAGCACCTGAAGTGAACCCTTTGGCCTTACTCCCTGTCCTGGCCGAATTCATCCGCCTCAAAGACCCCAACATGCTCACACTGGAGGTGTCTGGACTTGCAGCCAAATATCCTGACATCAGGTAATCAGCACCTCCTCCACCCTAACTGCTGCTCATTCTGTAAGCTTGATGTGTAAAACAAATACTGCCAGTGTTGTTCAGAAGAAAGTTGTATTGTAGACGTCATACGTCAGCTTTCAGAAACACCGTCTTTAATAAAGCTGCCACAGCCCTGATTGTCTTTGGTTGTTCAGTGAGTGAAGAAACAACAAACAACAGAACAAATTCTTCCAAAGTGAGCAGACAAAACGGGACGTTTCAAGAAGTCTTTGGGTTGTTTCTGAGGTTTAATTCATCTCATAATCAGTCAGTCAGCACGTTTCAAAGGAGAAAAGCCTTTTTTATGATTGCACGCACCACAGGAGTAGGAAAATAACTTACCTGAACAAAGCTGCAAAACGAAAAACCCAGACTGAACAGAGCCATAACACGAACTCGCTGCCTGCTGACCAATCAGGCCTCTAGAAATTAGCATCACCGTTGGTGGAAGATCTCTCAGACCTCTGTGAGATGACAGCAGGAGGGTTTAAAGTTCTTTAAGCACATCTAAAGTCTTTAATCTTTTTTATTGTTTCTCACCACACAGGTTTGCACACGGACAAAGCCTGACATTTAGTTTTTATACTTAGTCTATACTCACTTTCAGGCTGTGAGACATGAGGCATGATATTAAACAAGGCATAAAGTGTGACATTTATGGAAAAAAGAGTATAATAAGGTGATGTGAATTAAATAAAAATTTGATTTTAGATAAAATGAAATGGTCTGAATTAAAGTAACGCTGTCAGGTGAAAAGGTGAGAAAAATCAATGCGAAATAAATAAACTCATATATAAAACAGAATGATCAAAAGCATAAACATTGTAGAAGGAAAAGCTAAAATCAAGTGACATTGTGAAAGAAAAGGTATCATCAAAGCGATGCCATACGATTTAAAATGATCTGGCTGTAACTCAGGAAGTAGAGCAGGTCATCTGCTAATCGCAAGGTTTGCGGGTCGATCCCTGCCCAAGCCAAATATCCTTGAGCAGGATACTTACCCCAAGCATCCATCGGAGCATGAATGTGTGTGAATGTTACATAGAAAGCACTTACATAGACCTAAGAGCTTGTGTGAATGAGGTGAGTTGTGTAAGGTGCTTTGAGTGCTGTGTAAGAACCAGTCCATTTCCTTTGGTGAATAATGTAGAAAAAGATTTTGTGTTTGTTCTCTCAGTGAGGAGCACGTGTCCGTGCTGCTGGAAATCCGAGGCGACGTCTCTCGGGACATCAAAGGGGCTGTACTGGATTTGCTGGAGCAGAGCGCTCCCCCTCTTCCCGTCGGATACCGACCCATCTTCACTGACATCCTGGTGCCTCCCTCCACCATGGCCTTCTGCCTGCCAACTGCCAAGTGTGCATAGCTGCAGGGGTTTCGTGTAAAAAGCAGGGAGCTCCTAAATAAACACTTAGAAACAGTGCTGAGCAGAGTCTCCAGCTCTCCTTATTTATTCAAGATCTCGGTGATGCACATGAATTTATTTCTCCTCCAGCTTACCAGGGGTTTGAGGTGGCGACTTGCTGGTCCAGGTCTAATATCAGCTGCGAGGCAGGGGTTGTTTTGTTTGCCTTAAGTCTTCTATACTTCCAGAAGTCGCTGTCAGAGTTTTCTGCAGTTTATACAACAGAGTTAACAGGACGTGGATGATTTTTAAAGTCCGGTAACAGGACTATTGTGCACTTCATACACTCTCTGTAGCCCCATTTGGATGGAATTTATTTCTCTTTGGCAGGTTGGGTGATTTTATTATCAGTCCACACCATATATGACTTATTTTTCTCTGGGGATTATATTATGATCAAAGTGAAAAAGTATTCAGCTTCAGGTAAGTAACCTGTTCTCTGAACTCTGTTTTCCACTTTCTCAAACTGTCACATTAACAGCGACCAGACGCCCTGTAGTTCTGTTATTTCTAAGCAAATGATAGAAGATAAATAAATGTGTTCATCTATTAACATTTATTTGTTTTTTATATTTTTCCTACCTGAATGTTCGTGTCCATTACAATGAGAGCGAATTACTAAAGGTAAAGAAATACAAACAGAGAAACTGAGCGACTGGGTAAAGCAAGAAGAAATCCTGAGATTAAAGTCATACAATTCTGAGAAACACACATGTATGATTTGTGGGGGAAAAATAATATCAACACAAGAAAGAAAAGGAAAACAGAATTTTTATGATGGGAAAAACATCTAATTTAACAATTTCCAAGTAAAATGTAGGTAAAATTTATATCTTTCAATTTGTTTAAATATCTTTAAAAGGAAATGTTAGAACACAAGCAACAGCTTTCCAGTCATTAAGAGAAACAACAAACTACGTTTCAAAAGGAGTTTAAATACTGTGATTTTCCCTTAACCTTCAATAGTCTCGATACGCTGTCATATTTTCACAGACTTTAAAAAGCTGTTGATGTTATTCGTGTCCAAATGGGACTTTTGGTTCAGGTTTAAAGTGACAAACAGCACAAACAGGCCTGCACGCTGCCTTCGTTCTTCTTCATTACCCACCATGTTACTGGTTAAACGTTATTTCTGCTTCCTGTCACTTTAAAGAGTCAGCGCTGAGCATTGCTTTGACCTGCATGAGTAAAATCTCACATCAGCATAAACGTTTCTATGTGAAACAAACAATCTGCCTGGATAAACTGCACCAAAGTTTTTTGATCATTTCTTTGTGAGAAAACATTTTTAAGACTCAAATTGCTGCATATTAGATATCTTTATATAAACTAAAAACTTCCTACTGAAAAAAAAGACACTTTTAAACTTTTTTTGTGGAGATTTTCTTCTGATTTGAGGGAAGACAGAGGTTATGGGACAGATTTATGATATTCAGATAAAGCATAACTCTTATGTAATGTATATTGAAAACCAAAGCTTTCAAAATGAAAGAAAAAGACATGAAATAAAGAAATGATCATATAGAAAGTGGCATTATGAAAGAAAAGTGACAAAAAAATAAAAGATGAGAATGAAATTAAACTGAAAATAAGAAATATTAAATACGTGGTTGGATTATTAATAAAAATGAGACACTGATGAATCATTAAATATATAAGTGACATAAAATATAAAAATATGACATGAAACAATGGCATTATGCATTGAAATGTTAAAATTAAGGTGACATAAAAATGGATGATAAATTAGGAAAGTGCATACATTAAAAAAAAGAACAAATGAAAGTGTGTATAAGTTATAGTTTATTATTTAAAGATGAACGTGGTTTCTCTTTGAGATTTCCCAGCTGTGAACATCCCACCAGAGCAGCTGCTCTGTAATCACTCTGAAACTGTGTTTTCATTTCAAGCTTGCTGTTTGTACCAAATGTTGTTTATCTCATTTTTTTAGAAAGTATTTATTGTATTTATGTAACAAAGTCAACTGTTGTCTTTTGTTTGGTGTTTTGTTATTGGTTTTACATTTCTGGTTCAAAGCCTCTAAAGAGCATAAAGTCTGTTCCATAAGTGTTTTAATAAAGTCTTTATCAAGTAAACTTTGTATTTCTATTATTAAAAGCATAAGGCACATATTAAGTATGAAATCACTATCAATCAGCAGATGCAGTGTTATTTATTTATTATGTTCTTTACTTGGCATAAAGTATTTATTTATATCTTGAACTACTGCACTGTAAATGTGTTTGACTTTTATATATTTTGCTAGAGTGTCCTTTATCTTTCTTGCCTCTTAATTCTTCTTTACGGTGTGTGAGAGAAACAGCATTTCATTTTTGCTGGATGTCCTGTACACGCAGCAAACTGACAGTAAAAATCTTTGAATCTCGAGAGAATGATGAAACGTTATTTTGATAATGAAAGCAAGATTTAGGTGTGAATTTTAATTTTATTCATTCAGGTTTTTTTATTTGCAAAGGCTGTTTCTAGTAACTAATATAGTCACTTTTGAAATCATTTATATTTTTATTTTATGAATTATTATACTGTTTCTTCTTAATATTTTTTTAGCTGTTTAAATTCCTGCTGTCTACTATTTACAGTCTGTTTGGAGCACCCACACTTTCGTTGTACACGTACAATGACAATAAAGGGCTATTCTTTTCTATTCTTTTCTATTCTGTTTTTTTCTTCTCATGTTTTTCTAATATTTTTATTGTCATTTTTATTTTCGTAATTTAGCTTTTCACAAGGCCGATTATCTTTTATAAATGTATTTAATAACCAACTCCTAAATTACAACTTCAATAACGACACAAATACCAAAAAAGAAAATATCAACGACGCAAAGCGTCACGTGACTCCGCCTACGTGACGTCACGTGGCAAGATGGCGGCTTCCTTTGGAGAAACGCTGCTGCTGTGATCGTGTTTACTTGCCTACTTGTAGAGAATATTCAGGTGAAACCAGCCGTCATTCAACCGCAGAGGGGTCCGAGTGTTGTGGCGGAGATGAAGACCTTCTGCGGGAGAGCCAACCCGACCACCGGGGCTTTAGACTGGGTGGAGGAGAGCGAGGAGTACGACTACCACCAGGAGATAGCCAGGTATGCTCAGGGCGTCCAGTGACCACAGATGTGGTTTACAGATGTCTTGCGTACCCTGAAAACAAAGATCCTTAGAAACACTGAAGATATTCGCCACTCTGTGATCCTGTATGGAAGTTCAGTAATGCCGGCAAAAGAAATTGTAACGTTTGTCATGAAAATTCTCAACTTAAACGTGTAAAAATGCACAATAAAGATAAGAATATGAGATCTAAAAGCACAGATAATGATATGGAAACAAACTACAGATACAGTCTCACTCTACACTGCTGCTGATCAATAAAAGGTTTTGAAAGAGCAACGTTAACTGAAGTGAAAAATATCATGGAAAAAATGGCCTAAAAAATGAGAATTGTAAAATAAAATTTAAAAAAAATTATATGTTTGTCTTTCTAAATCCAAATGTAAACAGAACATGAACATATTTTTTAAATTGTACATTCATTTTCTTATTTATCTTTTTCTTAACTTTCCTCTGTTTTAATTAAGCTCCTTTGACTGACTTTGTTATGGCACATGTTCTTTGTTGGTTATGTTTTCAAAAATGATGATTTTATACGTTTAAACTGCATTAGTGACTAATTTTTATCTTTTTCTTCTTTAATCAGTTTTTTAAAATTTACAATGATCCTTCATCGGTTTATCTTTCAGGTCCTCCTATGCAGACATGCTGCACGATCACGACAGGGTAAGACCTGGAGAAAAAGTCCCTCAGAACTCTCAGAAGTGCTTTTATTATTACTAATAATAAACCCAAATAGATGGATAACACATATAACAAGTGTCGTGTTTGACAGAAGAAATAAAACAACAACACCGCTAACATGTCTTCCACTGCAGAATAAGAAATACTATGAGGGCATCCGGGCTGCTGTAGCCAGAGTGAAGGCTCGCAGCGAGAGGGTCATCGTGCTGGACATCGGCACCGGAACTGGCCTCCTGTCGATGATGGCCATCACGGCCGGGGCTGACTTCTGTTACGCCGTGGAGGTGAACATCACTGATCGCTCTCCTTCAGCATGGATTCATTTCCCCCTTGTGGTGTTTTAATATCAGTTAATAACTTTGTGATGCTTCCCTGCAGGTTTTTAAGCCGATGGCCGAGGCGGCGCAGTGCATCGTGGAGAAGAACGGCTTCTCCGACAAAATCAAGATTATTAACAAACACTCCACAGACGTCACTGTGGGACCAGGTCAGACACGGCAGTACTGCATCAGGCTGTGTGTTAATGAATCTCAACTTCACAGCTCACCCTAAATCAATTAAATCTTCTGTCCATATATTAACTTACTAACATCACTCTTTTCTCCCAAACTGTAACGATTCACTCCAAGCACAAAACCAAACAAGCAGAGGACATTTAAAAAAACAGCATTCATTACTTACACAGCAGTGCATCTGTTTTCATAACCAGAACCCTGTTTTCCAGATGGAGACATGCAGGTGAAGGCCAACGTCCTGATCACAGAGCTGTTCGATACTGAGCTGATCGGTGAAGGAGCTCTGCCCAGCTACGAGCACGCCCACCAAAACCTGATGCAGGTGTGTGCTGTCACACTTTTCCTGCATTCGTCAGCAGCTTCCTCACAGCTGAAGGTTTGGACTGTTTCCGGTAGTTTTACTTTCCTTTTGCTGCCCCGCAGGAGCGCTGCGAGGCCGTCCCTCACCGGGCCACCGTCTACGCCCAGCTGGTAGAGTCGGAGCTTCTGTGGAGCTGGGCTCAGCTGCAGCCAGTTGAGGTGGAGGGGGCCAGGCTGGTCCCTCCGCCTGCAGTGGGCCGGTGTGCCGGAGCTCACGCGGTGTGTGACATCCAGCTGAGCCAGGTGTCTCCTGCCAGCTTCACCCCGCTGGGTCCCGTCTGCACCATGTTCACGTAAGAAAGGAGACACTTGCTCGTATGCATCTGCAGTTATTCACATCCCTCTCTGACTGTCATCCTTTCCTTTCAGCGTGGATTTTAGCAAACCTGTAAGCAGCGCCTTCCAGGCCCACTCCTCCCAGTTTGTGGCTCAGTCAAGCGGCCGGGCTCAGGCAGTTTTGTCCTGGTGGGACCTGGACATGGACCCCACTGGGTCCATAGTGTGCACCATGGCACCCAGCTGGACTTACCAAGAGCCAAAGATGGCCCCGGTGAGTTACTGCTCTGCTTGTGTTTAAGCAGCCAGTAGCATCAGATTACAGCAAGCTCTTTAACAGCTCAGGCAGCAGTGCCACAAATATTCTTAAATATCAGAGGGAACAACACTTCAGTGCACTCACTTTATGTTCAGTGAAGATGCCAGCAAAAATCTGTGACATGATTCTTTGTGGTGTGTGCAGCATGGAGAAACAGTAGGAAAATGTGCCTGGCAGTCTTCATCTTTGCATGGATTTTGTACATAATAATGAAACTGCAGTAAAATCCACAACTGACAGGATAAAGAAGCCAGAACTGATATTTTTTAAAGCTAAAATATATGAAGGTATTTTCTTAGCTTTGCATAAACAGCTGAGGTTTGACTCACTGCGTTTAGTATGAGATAAGATAAACCTTCATTAGTCCCACACGTGGGACATTTTTTTTGGTCACGGCAAAAAGTAAGTCGATAAATCATCGGTCACTGTCGTGTCTTTCAGTGGCGCGACCACTGGATGCAGAGCGTGTACTTCCTGCCTGTGGAGAGCCAGGTGACAGAAGGAGAGGAGCTGAGCCTGATGGTCTGCCACGATGACTACAGTCTGTGGTACAGCCTGCAGCCTCGCAGGTACAGTTTGCTCAGACGCATGTATACGCTTTGAACAATTTATTTAAGAGACTTCTTGAATCTGTCTGCAGCTCAACAAGAAGACATCAGTGCGATTGTTCTCACTGAATATGAGTGAAAAGATTCATGTGAAAAGCTGCACCCTATGATTCAGCGGATGGTAGAACCACGTTTAACAGCAATAACTTGAATTATCAGACATTACTCACAAACATGTCCTCCTGGTTGGGAATTGTCACAAACTGGTCTGAATGTCGATTGTTTCAGCCAGCGGGGCTCACAGACTGAGGCTCCTCCCTCTCGGCCATGTTGCACCTGCCAGGCTCACCTGGTTTGGACTCGGCCGCGTTTCGGCGAACTTAACGACAGACGGCGTACGGAGAGCTACGTCAGCGCTCTGCGCAGCGTAAGTGGAGGCATCGAGGCCGCCTGTGTAAATTCATATATTCTCAAATACGACTGCGGTTTAACGAGCTGGGTGAACTTCAGGTGCTGAGAGAGGACAGCGTGTGTCTCAGCGTCAGTGACGGGAGTCTGCTTCCTGTGTTCGCTCACATGCTCGGAGCCAAGAAGGTACGCCGCTTTCACCTCACAGATACTGTCGCTCCGTGACATCATCAGCGTCACGCCTGTTTTCACTTCCCTGTGTTTCCTTTTCTACTCAGGTGTTCGGTTTGGAGAACTCCCAAATGTCTAAACAGGTTATTGATGAGGTAATCATTCAGATCATTCTCAGCGGTGATGCTTTGAAATGTTTCAGGCACTGTATGATTTTTATTCTTGTTTCATTTTGGTAAAAAGATGATAAAATGGTTTCATATAACCAAAACTGTGTCTTATCCTGCTTGTTACGTCCTGTATATCAACATGAAAGCATCTTTCTCTGCAGGTTTTGGAAGCCAACTCCATGAAAGGACGTGTTGAGCTGCTGGAGATCAGGCCGGAGCAGCTGACCAGTAATGATGTAGGAGGAGAACAGGTACCGTCGTCTTCCCGATGCAACCAGGAAGCATCTGAATGCAACACATTTAGACTCCTTTAGAAGGATGTACCTCAAAGCAGGATTAAAGGGTTGACAAGTTTAAAGTCTTGTGTTTTCTGTGTTGACCTGGCTAAATCACTGTGGTAACACATAACCTGGTCCAGTCCAGTCAAACTGGGAGCATCTATTAATCTGTTATGACAGAGAGGATTTTACGTCAGGAGTCCCACCCACATGAGTGCTAAGGAAACTGAAATGTGTGAGGTGATGTTGGCCTCTCCTGTGCAGATCTCCGTCCTGATGGGTGAACCGTACTTCAGCACCAGCCTCCTGCCGTGGCACTCCCTGTTCTTCTGGTACTGTCGCACCGCCCTGGCAGGTCTTCTGCGACCCGACGCCAGCATCCTGCCCCGCTCTGCCTCCCTTCACATGGTGGCTGTGGAGTTCCAGGTGAGGCCGTTATGATTGTTGTTATCATCTGTATACAGGGCGATCAAACGTTCCCAGAATGGGACCCATAAACCAAAAAATCTTCTCTTTGTGGAAATCAGCTTACACTTGTTTCTGCGATGATCCTTCAGACTTTACACTTTAACCAATCAAATAAATACTTAATCAATCTATCAGATGTTGGCTGCTTATGTGAATTCAGGTCATATTCAGTGGTTAATACTTATTAGTTTTAAGCATGAAGACTGTTCACAGATGAAGGCGCTGTTAAATGTTTCATCCAAATGGCAACAAACAAGTTGCTATTTTGTTTGTTTGTTTTTGTTTTGTTCATACCAGTGAGTGAAGGTGTTAAATACTCTGATCATTTTCTGCATCTCCATCTTTCAGTTCTACATGCTGTGAGATTCCTCTCACGTGGAGGGGAATGACTGTGATTTAAGATTCAGTTATTTTAGACGTATATCCAATTATTTAACCAAAAAAATAAACGTGTTGTTTCTGTCTTTGTCCGCCTGGTAGGATTTGTGGAGGATAAGAGCGCCGTGTGGAACCTGCGAGGGCTTCGATGTCACGCCCATGGATGAAATGGTCCAGGTAAAATGAGATGATTTCACTGGATGTTAAATGAGGTTTTGAATGAGTTATTTCTGTTTTAATGGCAACACTGTAACATTTGGATCAGTAAAAAGCATTATCTTAAAAACTCATCAGAGATGATCTGTAGTCGTTTTTATTGAACTTTACCGTCAGGGTGCTCTGTGCTACTTCTATTTTGTGAGTTCTATTAGCTTTTGGGATTGAAGGTGTCAGGAATAAGACAAATACTCAAACAGAGACACCTCTAAATACTAGTTTGACCCTGAGAGAGGACTTTCATGTGCACAAACTTGCTGAATCATTTCAAACTGCTGAACTTCAGCCTTCAAAAACTGAACAGAAAACATAATGAAAGCAAAGCAGTTAGTGACTAATGAGTGATTTGGGAGATTTCAATGCAGAATCAACAGTACAGTAAAACATTGTGTCATCTGCATATAAATGTACATACCAATTTGTGACGATGAAATAATGTAATAAAAATATATTACAAAAAGAAGTGGATCTACAAATGAGCCGTGTGAAACACCTTTAATTAATTTTTGGTATAAATTCGAAGCTCATTGACTCCTGCTGATCACAACTGTAACTATCTGTGTCCAAATAAATCCTTATGTCCCCTCAGCGCTCTCTGGATTTCCGCGAGTCCCGTGAGGCGGAGCCACACCCCCTGTGGGAGTATCCTTGTCGGGCTCTCACCCAGTCCACCGCCACCATGACCTTTGACTTCACACAGTGCCTCCCTCAGCAGCCAATCAGCAGCCAGGGCTTGCTGTCTTTCATTAGGTACAGTTACTTTAATCAGTGCCAGAACTAATTTGAGACATACATGTCAGTCTAATATGTCAGTTTTCTATCATTGTGGCTGTTGTGTTATTTGTCTTTTGTTTTCTGTAGTTTGTTTTGTCTCTTCTCTTTCTCCTGAGTCCCAAATGGTTGAAGCAGCAACTCCCTGAGCCTGGTTCTTCCTGTCAAAAGGGAGTTTTTCCTTCCCACCATCCAAATACTTGCTCGCGGGGGACGTCTGATTTTCGGGGTTTTCTCTCACCCCGTAGAGCTCCTTTTATTGTTGTGTTTTGATGCTGTTAAAATACTACTGTGAGGTTTGACGTTCATCTTCTGCTTCATAGAGTTGAGTCAGTAGCATATTTTCTATGTTAAACATGCTTTTCAGGGAAGGTCGTTGCCATGGTGTTGCATTGTGGATGGAGTACCACCTGACAGATGACATCACTGTCAGCGCAGGTCTCAACGGACCAATCAATGAGCAGGTATCTGCCTCAGTTTAGAGCTTCATTTCGTTACTAAATGACTCTTTCTTTAGGCAAGGCAAGTTTATTTGTATAGCACAATTCAACAACAAGGTGATTCAAAGTGCTTTACAGAGACATTAGAAACACAAACAAATAAAAAGCACGATTTAAAATTGATTAAAACAAGCAAACAAACTGACTCTGGGAACTGATAAAAAACCGGATCCAGATGACCTGAGGGATCTGGAAGGTTCATACTGGGTCAGGAGGTCATTGATGTATTTTGGTCCTAAACCATTCAGAGCTTTATAGACCAGCATCAGAACTTTAAAGTCTATCCTCTGACGGACAGGCAGCCAGTGTAAAGACCTCAGAGCTGGACTGATGTGGTCCACTTTTTTGGTCTTAGTGAGGACTCGAGCAGCAGAGTTCTGAATGAGCTAACACTTAATTGCTAACACAGTGTTGAAAGAGCCGCCACCACAGGGTGAGAGGAGAGGTACACCCTGGACAGGCTGCAGGACTAACACAGAGAGACAAACAACCATTTACACTCACGTTCATACTTATGGTTAATTTAGAATCACCACTAACTGCATGTCTTTGGGCTGTGGGAGGAACCACAGGGAGAACCTCTTATCCAGGCATTCGCCAGCACTACCAACAGATGTGTAGTTGTTATACAATTTTAGTCTTCTTTTGTAGTTGCAGCAGTTTAGAAGGAGACCGGGTGTCTGCACCCTCTTAACCCTCATCGGCTGCTTGTCAGTACTCCTGGTTGTTTCTAATGTCAACAGATTTTACCTGCTATTATTTGGTAGGGCTGTTTTGTTTCAATGAGAAGAACAGTGATTATGAGTGCATATACAATACTGTAAATGAAAAACAATTAAAGCAAAATAAGTTTAAAGAATCACTAAAGATTACTAAAAGTGGTCCTCGGTGGAGCGTTTCACTGGGAGTGTGAAGTTTGGGGACACAGTGGACTTGTTGGGTTTTACAGCAGATGTTTCTCCTGCAGGGCGACTGCGAGTGGAGTCGACACAGGAAGCAGGGAGTGTACTTCTTCGGGTCGCCGTGGGAGATCTCAGGTGACGGCAGGGCCGCGGTGTCCTACAGCTTCACCTTTGAACCCAGTTTAGGAGACATTAGGATGGACTTCAGTGTCACATCTCAGTGACGTCGAGCAATCACCGACTGAACAGCTCACTTTTTGCCAAACCTGACATTTAACATGTTTTGTTCTGACTGAATCTCCATGATTAACCATAATTCAGAGTGTGGAACATGAGAAGCTTAGTGAGGATGTCACCAGTTCTATTTTTTACTTTCTGAGATGATACAGCTGCGGGATATTTTGTATCAGCTGGACATTAAAAGTCTGTTTGAAGTCGTTTTTTAAATTCTCATTACAATAAAGGTTTGTACACAAAAACTTAGAAGAGATGTAGCAGCTGTCAGTCAGCAGGTTACAGTCTTGAGAGACTATTTATTTGATATTCAGGAAATTGTTTATAAAGTTGTTTTTTTAAATTGGCGTCAAGAGTTTTTGTGAAAGAAGTCATATTCTAAAACGAGTGTTTAAAGCTGCTGTTAAAGCAAGGGATTACATTTAGATCCTGGGCCACCTGCAGTCACAATACCAATAACCATTTCTTAAGTATTTAGTCACATGCAGTGAAATAAATGGGATATGTTTAAACATTGTAAGGCTGGTTTTAGTTTATTGCAATGAAACAAAGAGAGGCAACAACACTTCTTTGCCTTCCACATACATACAGACCCTTCATTTGAACGGTTTAAATGCGGTTTGGTTTCGATGTCAGCGTTCGTAAATCTTAAACAGCAATACGTTTCCACTCGGTTCTTCAGCTGTTAGCGATCAGGTGTAAATGGAAGTTAAATTCAAGGAATAAAGAAAGCATGTCAGCTTTTCAGTATGACCTAGAAAGCCTTCAGGTGAAGGCGCTCTCACTATAGACTTTGTAGTCAATGATGAATCATTTCTATTGAAGCTTCAATGATGGAAACTGCAATCCAGCTGACAGATGGAAAAAAACATTTCTGTATGGTGTAATTGCACTGATCATCTTGAGAGTTTACTTTATGTTTTAAATCTCATCACAGCAGGACTCAAACATTCTCAGTGCATATTTACTCCCGTGTGGATTATACACAAAATGGATCAGCGAGGTGCCTCACTGATCCTCGGGGTTTAATCAGAGGGAATCGTGTCTACAGGGTTGGAAAAGAGAGGAATGTCATGTGTTGAGGTTTGAGCAGTGCGCGTTGCTGAAGTTGTGTTTCAAGCATCCGTCAGTGTTTTGTTGTCCAGAACGATTTTCTCTCCCGGCTTGAACGCCGGCATCCCCGCGTACGGGCAGCTGGCACATCGGAAAGCATCGCCAAGGTAACACTGCCACAAACAGAACAAAGATAATTATTATTTCTTTATTAGAACCAGAGGAGGGATGAGGAACCAATGCAGGCTTTTGAAAGTATACACTCACACTTCCACAGGCTGATTTTGGCAGGTCAGTCTTCTGTTTTCCTTTACTCTCCTGCTCCAGTTCTTCAGCTAGCCCACACGTGCTACACAAAGATACAGTACAGCATCACGTCACATGATGTCCTTCATGCTCATGCAAAAGTTTCAGATCGCCGCAAACTTCAGATTGCTCATAACACTGGATCTGTATGCTGTCAGTGAGAGCAGACGTCCTTAATGCGGACATCTCAAACATAAATTTTATAAGTCATGAAGCTGAAAATGAGCATGAGCCCAAAGGTTGTGCATGGGTAAATCGTGTAATATCTGGTTAAAAGTGCACTGACATTTCTGAAAGCTCGGATCTTGGTCTTAAATCTCTCCAAAATATGTGAGATTTAAACAAAACCTCACCAGTTCTTGCAGGCTTTCTTCTTCTTGTCGGCTCCTTCTCCACAGGCCGGAGCTTTAAGAGAAGCTGGATCAGGTTTTTTCAAGTCATCTTCATCCAGCAGAGCATCCGAGTCCATCAGATCCTACACAGAACATAAACACGACGGACAAGAAAAACATCAGTGTGTCATTTATGTGTTGCATTACTCCAGGTTTGAGAAACTGCAGAAAAATCAGCAATTCCCCACAAACTACATCGTGCTGAAATACATATTTTTCTTTAAAAGAGGATTTCAGTCTGCCTAATAAACGGTCACGTGTGCGTGGTTCAGCGCTTCAGTCGGTGTACAAACTCACCACATCATCGTCGTTCATGTCGTTGGCTGACAGCGTCCACATTTTCACCGTGTTGGGATCCAGAGCAGGTTTCTCTGCTGAAATCACACATTTTAACCAACATTAGCTTCACAGCACAGACAGTCTGAGGAGCTCACAGACTCACTCGTCACTTATAATGATGCAAATGCAGCATTGTTAAAAAAAAAAATTAAAATAAAATGTTACTGTAGTGAGGACGACAGACAGCCCGAATAGGAAATGAAGTTTCGTCCTCCAAGTGGAAATTACATTATTCATAAAAATAAAAAATAAAAAAGAAGCGATCGCAGACAAACTGGATTATTGTGTCTGTATAAAGAGTCGAGAAAGTCACTCGTCTTCTGTTGATAGTCTTTAAAACGTGAAAACGTTTGGTTTTTTTTTTCCAAATTGGTCAGCAGATTCCTAACTTGATTGTTCTTGACTTCATAGTGGTACTTCTTGTTTCTTCAGTTGGATTTTCTTTCATTTTAAACTGAGCAGAACTCAGTTTATTAACATAAAGTATTCCTAATGCCCAGACAGTAGCTTCTCCTTTGTTAGAGCCATAAACAAAGCCATAAATCTGTAATCTGTAAAATTACAGATTTATGTCCCTATCATCATCAACTCAAACCTCTCTACAAACTAAAGGGAATCTGGCATCTGTAGCCTATTATATTAGATCATAGTTGACAGAGACGGTGAGCTGTGGATTCAGAGACAACAGGAGAAAGAACAAAGCGTACTTATGAAGCCTACCTGGCTTGGCTGTCTTTTTCCCAAACGACAGTTTGATCTGGCTCGATGACCCCACCTCAAAGTCGGGTTTGGAGGCAGATACGCGGACTCGAGACAGGGAGTCTCCTTGGTAACCAGAGGCTGCCCTGAGGGAGCTCAGCGCTTCAGGACTGAGCTCTGCTTTGCTGATCTGAATGACGAGACAGCAAACTGATATAAGCATGGCACAAAATCAGGGGCTGGATCCAGCCTTGTGAATACGCCCAGCTGGGAGCATTTTTTTTTCCCCCACCCGTGACGTGAAGACCCACAGAAATAACGTGTAGCAGCTAAATTCGCTGCTTAACTGATGGACCCACAGTGAACTGAGGATTCCTCCATGTTCATACTAACACTCTGAGATGTGCAGCACACTCAGAGCAGCAGTTATACTGTGCCCTCCCTTATTAGTCAGCACTGGTTAAGGTAGGATGTGGCGTCATGTCGGTGTAGCACTTTCCCTGTCCCTATTACACCTGTCCCTATTACACCTGTCCCTATTACACCTGTCCCTATTACACCTGTCCCTATTACACCTGTCCCTATTACACCTGTCCCTATTACACCTGTCCCTATTACACCGTTATTGGGCTGGGAAGAAAGTGGCAGTGTAGCGTTTTGCCCAAAGTTCACGTTTTTTTAATCTCAGCAAATTTAAAAAAATTAAATAAAACTAAAAAGGTATGCAGGTTTTAGGGAAAACCCTTGTGACATGTGCAGAGGAGGGATGGTGGATATATTGGACAAAGGATGTTGAATATGGACATGACAGAGGAGGATGGCAGGGATAGGATGCGATGGAGGCAGATGATGCTCCGTGTGAATGAGGAAGCAAAAATGACCATCAGGTCAAACTATTAACAATAATTAGACCTCCTCAGTAAGGGGATTCTCAGAAGCCAGCAACTGAAAGACCCATACCAACTTCTTTCTTCCAATCATGTTCCTCACTGTTCAAGCAGCTGGAGACTCAAAATCTGTTTACAGAGACAAGCTTCCAGGAATTTAAACCCAAAACTAACTTCACAACATGTCAACCGGTGCCTCAAGTGCTCCGATCAGCTGGTCTAAGTGGAATAATGTCCTGAATATGCATGTTGCTGGAGTACACAGTTGCAGATGTTGGGGAAAACATCCCTCTACTCCACAGTGTGAACTAGGGCTGTGCGATATGACCAAAATCTCATATCCCGATATAAGACATCTATCATCCCGATAACGATATAAATCACAACATTTAAAATTTTCTGTAAATTCCATGAATCTCGGGCAGCTCGACTTGCATGAAGTGTTTTCAGCTGGGCGTTGTGTACCTGGAGTTATGACTTTTAGCCAATGCATGAAACTATACATTTTTAGACATAAGTTGTAACGGCCGCCGTTTTCTTTGTGAATATTTATTACACGGCGTGCTGCGGGGAAAAGCCTGTTCTAACGTTTGACTCTAAGGTTTATTTTTTAGCACCTGACGGCTCTTTTTTTGCTTCTCATCCGTAAATACTGCATACTCTTTCACAGGATTTTGTTTATTTTGAAAAGCCTCAACAGGATCTTGAGCTTTATTGTGAAAGGTTAATATGCAAAACAAACAAGCAGACGGCGGAGCCACGCCATTGTTTTACCATCGTGGTTGCTAACAGCAACGCGTAAAAACAGTCGCTTGTCCATCCGTAGTGTGGTCATATTAAATATAAAAGAAAGAGAAATTTAACAAATTAATATAACCACTACAGTGACCATCAAACGATGAAAAAAATATTGCCGTAAACGTTTTATTTTGCCACACTGCGAAACAAACGATAGCGTAAAATGAAACGACAGACGTTTTTATATCGTCACCCGATATATATCGTTATATCGAACAGCCCTAGTGTGAACTACTCACCTCTGTTACTGACATAAAGCCGGACAGCTTCAGAGCCGACACCAGCTTCTCAGCTGTCCTCACACTTTGTCCTTCTGATTCTGTAACACAGATATACTCAGCACATTAAAACACATCGACACCGAGGATAAATACACCTAAACTGCTGTCGATAATGCGTTTCCACTGTAACAGTGCACACTTAGGCCACTCTTGTATCACGTGTCAAACAACAGTGTCCTTCACTCTCATTCAAAGTCACGTCAGTCATGCTGCTGAAGTGAGATAAACTTGATACCTGACACTTTGCATTGCCAGTGGTTACTATTTCACCTGTCATCCTTACCAGTCACCTGCCGGGACCGAGTAGCAGGCTCCAGAGAGCGGTCAGAGTAATGGTTTGTTGTTAATGTTGATCAATGGTCATGAGAATTTGCATAATTAAGATTAAGGAACTGACCTCCCAGCTCACTGTTCCTTCAGTGGGCTGGTTTCAGTCATTATGCAAATGTACTGTTTATAAGATCGGGGAAACCTGCAGTCAGCTGAGACTGAAGAAGTCACTTGGATGAGTGATGAAACATTTCTCC